CTCCTCCTCTGAGAATCCTGGGAAATGTAGTTTGTTAAAGGTGCTGAGGGCTGTTAGGAGACCCCTATTCCACCCCCTGCAGAGCTACAATTCTCAGAATGGTTTCACAATCAATCCCTCTTTGAATGGAATTAAGCTACACTTCCCATGATTCTTTTGGAGCATGCCATGACTTGTTAGAGTGGTATAATAGAGGTTTAAAGGTATGGTATGGATGTGGCCTGGAGGGGACACGGGTGGCGCTGTGGTCTAAACCACAGAGTCTAGGGCTTGCCGATTAGAAGGTCGGCGTTCGAAACCCCGCGACGGGGTGAGCTCCCGTTGTTCGGTCCCAGCTCCTGCCCACCTAGCAGTTCGAAAGCACATCAAAGTGCAAGTAGATAAATAGGTACCACTCTGGCGGCAAGGTAAGAAGCGGCTTAGTCATGCTGGCCACATGACCCGGAAGCTGTACGCCGGCTCCCTCGGCCAGTAAAATGAGATGAGCGCCACAACCCCAGAGTCGGTCACGACTGGACCTAACGGTCAGGGGTACTTTTACCTTTACATATGGGTGTGGTCTGGGTCTCAGGTCACGTAGCAGATAGCAAGCCTCACGGGGAATTTGAACCCATGCCTCTCTGGTCTAGTTCTCATAGAACCATAGAATTGCAGAGTTGGAAGGGTCCAAGAGCGTCATCTAGTCCAACCCTCTGCAATGCAGGAATCTTTGGATTCGAACCCACAGCCCTGGAATTAAGAGTCTCATGTCCTACTGACCAGGCTACCCCAGCTGTGTATTCAAGCTGTGTCATTTCAGATTGCAGGTGGGTGCTTAAATGACTACATACCCACCCGCCCCCGTCCTTCTTTTAACCCAGCAATGCCTGGGTTACGCTTTCACTGACAGCTAATTTTTTTAAAAAATATGGCTACCAAACCCCTCCCCGCACCAGTATACCACTGGTACAGCCCAGGCTAAAGGTAAAGGGACCCCTGACCATTAGGTCCAGTCGTGGCCGACTCTGGGGTTGCGGCGCTCATCTCGCTCTATAGGCCAAGGGAGCCGGCGTACAGCTTCCGGGTCATGCGGCCAGCATGACTAAGCGCTTCTGGAGAACCAGAGCAGCGCACGGAAACGCCATTTACCTTCCCGCCGGAGCGGTACCTATTTATCTACTTGCACTTTGACACGCTTTCGAACTGCTAGGTTGGCAGGAGCAGGGACTGAGCAACGGGAGTTCACCCCGTCGTGGGGATTCGAACCACCAACCTTCTGATCGGCAAGTCCTAGGCTCTGTGGTTTAACCCACAGCGCCACATCAGCACTAACCAGGTCTGCCTTTCCACCACAGCTCCATCTGGAGAATGGGGATGATTCTATTAGCCTGCTTTACAGGGTCATAGTAAGGATTAACTGAGACATGACACAGTTTGAGCACTTAAAATGAAGCTTAACTGCTCTTACTAATGACTGCAACTCATACGCCAAAAAAATAAAGCACGGCTGACAGGTGCGAACAGGCTTGGATTTGTTCCGATTTAAAGTGTTCTCCTTGCCCGGAATCCTTGTTCTTAAATCATCGTTTGGACGCAGCAGATGTTCTCTCGGAAGTCCCACGGAAGCCCATCCGACTCACTTCCTAATAAGTGTTATTTAGGGCTACAGATCGAAAGCTGATTGTCACCTACTTAAGCAGCCACCACGCTTGGAGCCGCCGCAGAGCAGCGCCCCCTTAGAGGTCCAGTTGCGCAGCAGCTGAACTTTGGGAAACGGGAAAACCAGGCTGCGGAGCAAGCGCAGGGAATACTGCTACTCAGAAGTAAGCCTGCCTCCAGGCGCTTGTTTGCTTCGGGTTTTTTTTATGGGTGTGTGCGTGTGTGTGTGTGTCAGCGCACCACGTTGATTCAGGTGATCAGTTTCCTGGAGAAGTCGCTCCCGTTGCCAAAAAGGATTTCCTCTCCTGGTGCCTAAGCCATCAAATCTTGCCAGATCTCAGGCAGCGAAGCTCTCTGCTGCTGCGCGATCGGCTTGACGGCAGAAGTAACCCTTAACGCGCACGCCCTTTTCTCCCCAGGGTGACGATTTGTCTCGAGACACTGACTTCCAGCACACGCCTCCTTTCCCAGTGTGATCATCTTCCTCTCTCGCATTCACACACACACACACACAAACACACGCACAACCTGTCCCAAAGCAATTGCCATCCACTGCGGGTCTTACGCACCCAACCCCCGCCAGGTAAAAAAAAAGGCGCGCAGGAGGGCAACCTTTGAATCATGGCTTTTCAGGTGTGGCTCCCCCCCCCCCGTGTTACCATAGAATCATAGACTCTTAGAGTTAGAAGGGACCCAGGGGTCATCTAGTCTAACCCCATGCAATGCAGGAATCTTTCCAAACATAGGCTGCATACACGCCCCCAAGCACATTCGAAGCGCTCCCTGCTCCAAAATTTTTTAAAAAATTAAAAATAAATTATGGGCACTGTCATTTGGTAAAGGGAATTCTCACTCTGAGGCTGTCAAACTACAGTTCCCAGAACTCCTATAAAGAAGAAAAGATGCTTTAAAAGTGTACAGGATCAGGCCCAAGGGCGTTACAGCTGGGACTCTAAAAGCCACCCTCTCCTCGGCTCTTGGGGCGGCTGATGCATGTGGGGAAAGCACTCCTGATGTGCTCAGAGGCTGTTCTTTCAGTAACAGTTTCGGGAGCAGAGCTTCATGACTTGACTTCGGTGTTTTGCGCGTGCGTGTTTTTACTTCATACCGTCCCGCGTATCCTCACAAACACTCCCCTTCCCAAACCCATACAGCTGCCCGCAATGCAGAAAATGGTGTTTGCGCGCATTATTCACTCTGGCAGGCTTTTATCTATAATGCTGCGCTCACCGATCAGAAGCGCAGGGAGCAAACAAGCCTCAAGCCACGTCGCTCCCGCACCATTTTTAAAGTAGTGCCATCCCTTGTAGAACCCACATAGGTATGTGCGATAACTATTTAGTGGCAAAAGCATAGGAAGGAAGACCTGTGCCTGGTCTGCCTCCCCAAAGAGTTGGGGTGGGGGCAGGGTAGAACTATTCCACGTGATTTCATAGCTTTCCATATAAAATCCTCCACACTAAAAAACTAGCACGTCAGGGAAAAGGACTGCAGGCTAGCCGTTTCCCTGACATACTAGCTTTCTGCGTGCAGGGACTCTTACTTTAGTTCGTTGCTCAATCAGGCGAGTCCTCACCTGGACCGCCCAGAGGCAGGCAGGTTGATCGAGAACTATGGAGTAAGTAGCTCCATTGATCGCCCTGAGACTTAACAGTGCGAGTCTGCCCGTTTGCTCTGAAGTCAGAGTCTCCCGTCGAATTCCACAGCCTGAGCACAGCGCCGAGGCATTCAGGCTGCGTTTGCCCCAGTGGTTTGGGACGGAAGCTCCCGAGACGGCTCGATCATGCGACGTTCACGCGTCGTCCAGGTTTTCTCGATACTAAAAGCTGCTGAACTTTGCAATCCTGCGCCAAAGAGCTGTTCCTCCTTGCGAGCGCGTAAAGTTTCTCTTTGCAGCTCTCCCACGTGTGATCGGGGAGCGTGGGACATTTCTGAAGCCTCCCCCCCGCCCCGCTCTCCAAAGTAATCCATTTTCCCTTCCCATGCCCTGAGAAAGGGGCTCAGCTTGTGTGGCCCCCCGAGGGGGAGGGAGAGAATGAGAAGAGAGCGCGCCCGCTTCCTTACGAAGAAAGAACAACAAAGCGCCTTAAAGACTAGCAGATTTATTGCAACACGAGCGATCGTGAACTAGATCCCACGTTTGGCACAGGCATATGGAATGCTATCCGGGGCTGGCGGATCACCCAGGCACACGATTCTAGCGGCGGGTGGGCCCGGACGGGGGAGGGAAGAGAAGGAACGGACGGGCAACTGAGACCCTCCAAAGTCCGGGGCGTTTCTGCGCAAAGCCAACCCCCCCCTCCTGAAACCTCCGTGCACGCGCGTTTGGGTGGCAGCCAGCTTCTTCCGCGAAGGCTTTCCAAAACACGCCCATCTTAGGAGGGCTGCACACCTGACGGGCACCTCCGCCCTCCCCTCCCGTTTTTTTGTTTTTTTTTTTAAAAAAAACCTAATTCTTGTCTTCAGCTCCGCAAACACGATCAGCAATACCAAACGCGCTCTCCCATATTTGCAACAGCAATGATCGAAGGCTTGCTATTAGCCGTCATGGAACCAGAGCGCAAAGGGACCCGCGAGGGTCATCTAGCGCAACCCCCTGCCACGCAAACCCTCCTATTGGCATCACCATCGCGGAACCTAGAGTGGGGGGAAGGGACCCCCCCCAATGCCGTGCAGTTCAACCTCCTCCACCCGCGCGGTTTCCCCATCCCGTCTGAAACCACCCCGGACCCGGCTTAGCTTTGCAAACAGACGCGCGGTTTTCTTGCCGCGCGTCAAGCATTATTAATTCTCCCGCCTCTCTCAAGGCTCCTTGCCCACCTGCTGCGCTTTGCTCCTCACCTCCTGCAACCCTCGCCGCCCCCGTCCCCCCCCCCCAGCCTAGCCCTGCCTTCCCAGGGTTGCTCCACCTCTTGTCACCCTTCCAAGGAAAAAAGGCAAGCCTCTCCAGGGACCCGAGGCGGGGCTGCGGCTTGCCCTTCCACCCTCCCCCTTAATGCATATTAATAGCAACGCATGCGCTGCCTGACGTTTGCGCCCCCCCTTCTCCTCCTCCTCCTGCTGTAGCCATGGGCTAGCAAGCAGCAGCAGCAGCAGCAAGCAGTCAGTTCAGTGGGGCTTGCAGCACGGGCGATCGGATCCCTCCTCCTCTGGCTTCCTTTTTTTCCCTTTTGGAGGGGGCTGGTTGCGCGCGTGCAAATAGCCGTGGGCCCCCTCCTTTCTCTCCGGAGGGGTGTCGTCTATGTGCGTGTGGCGGGGGGTGGGGAGGGGGGCTCAGCCCGGGTTATTGTGCTGGCCGGGCTGGAGAGAGAGAGAGGGGTTGGCCGGCCAGCTCTGCAAAAGAGAGAAAAGCGAGCGGGCGAGGGGGGTGGGTGGGGGCGCGCGGAATAACCATCGCTAATAAGAAAGGAAGAAAGGAAGGGTGGGGGTTTTTTAAGAGACAGAGGCCAAGGAGAATAAAAGGAGGCTGGGCTGCTTTGCATTGAAGATCGGGGCGCTATTGAAAACCTTTTGAGAAGTGGCGTCTTCCACCCGCGCGCGCTTCCACCGGGAGAGCATATATATATATCTGGGAGCCGGGCAGCGGCTGCAAAGAGCGGCAGCGAGCCGGGGAGCGTCTCTGCGCGAAGGGCACTCTGCAAGCAAGAGGCATGCTTGGCTCAAAGGGACCGCAGCTCACGGACTTCTCCTTACGGCTTCTCCTTGCCCTGTTATGCTTGCGAGTCAAGGTACGTTTTTTGGGCAAGGCTCGGGCGTTGAAGCTCGCTTTTCGCAGGTTTCGGGTTTTTTGGGGGTTTTTTGGTCTTCCCAAGGAAAGCTTTCGATTGCAGAGCTCCTGCCCGCCTACCCAACCCCCCGCCCCAAGACATTCGCTTTCACCGATTTCCCCACCGCCCTCCTCCAGCTGCATTTTAAAAAAAAATGCTTCTACTATATGTATTTGAATTCGGGGTGATGATTTTTAGGGGGAAGCCAGGTTTCCCCGAGGACTTTCCCTTTTTCTCTCCCCCCTATACCGTCAGCGTTCCATTTCTTTTTTCCAGAGGGTTTTGCTTTCTGAAAGCCTCGCAGCAAGCGGACTTTTCCGTGATTGTTTTCAGGAGTGCGTCTGACTTGATTAGAGTTATTCGCTTGAGCTGTGCAAGGCTTTTTCTGCATGGTGTTCCCTTGCTTGAAGCTAACGACCCTTTTAACTCTTTTTGAGCGCTGGGAGGCAAATAGCGACACGATTTCCCTCTGGGAGTAGTCCCTAACATCAGAATTTGGGGGTGGGTAGCAGATCAGGGTTCCTGTTCGCTTTTTAACCTGTTGAATCAAGGAGCAATAGAAGCCTCCCCTTTCATTTTTGCTACACTTGTTAGTGATTTATTTTATTTTTTTTAAAAAAAATATATTTATTTACAAGCAACGTGCTAACGCTTCCTTCTCCTCTCTGCTTTCTTTGGGGGAACTTTTTTTTTTTAAATGCAAAAACAAAACAGGTGACCCTAACATCAGGCCAGTTCGAGTTTGAGATCATATCCATGCAAAATGTCAATGGCGAATTGCAGAATGGGAATTGCTGTGACGGGACCCGAAACCCAGCCGATAAGAAATGCACCAGAGATGAATGCGATACTTATTTCAAAGTTTGCCTGAAGGAGTATCAGTCGAGGGTTTCCGCTGGGGGCCCTTGCAGCTTTGGGTCCGGATCTACCCCAGTCGTCGGTGGGAATACCTTCAGTTTGAAATACAATCGGAATAACGAAAGGAACCGGATTGTCCTCCCTTTCAGCTTTGCCTGGCCGGTGAGTGACTTGACTTTTCTGAGCATCTTCCTTCTTCCTCTCCTTGCTGTGCATGGGTGCTGGCTGCCTTGCGGTCGCAGGCTTAGAGCTGCATACGTCTCCGTCCGGCTAAGCTGCAACGCAGCTAGATGGAAAAATCTAAGTGGATTGGGGGGGTGGGGAAAAAACCTGTGTGTTACGTGTATATGCAAGTCATCCCCTGTCCCCAGTGTACCCCCCCCCGGAGAATTTCAAAGGTCAGAAGTTCATGCAATTTATTTATTTTATTGCTCCCCCACCCCATTAGTTCTCATGCCTAGGTGGAGGCAGGAGGGTTGGATGGGGGGCGGCAGGCCGTGCGTTGGAGACCCCCTTGGTGGAATGCTATGGGGACCCCTCTCGCCCTACCCAATGGCATCTCTTGTGCTCGTGGGAGCTGCTAGCTCTTCCCGGTTGCCAGCTTCCCCGAGAATCCTGTTAGCATGCTTCCTTCCCCAGCCCAGACCCTGGAGAATCCCTCTGCCCTTATGCCCATGCTGCTGCCACCGCCATCCTTTCCTTGTTTCCCCTTCTCCTATGAGAGCTTTACGGTTTTGCCTGGCGAGGCAAGAGAGCTGGAACCATCTTCCCTTGGCTTGGGTAGCAGTTCCGGACCCTCCACCTGGAAACAAGGGCGTGCACTTGGGAAAGGCGTTGGTCCTTAATCCAGTTGGCTGCAAACGACCCAGTCTTCAAATGGGTCTCACTTTCACCAAATGCATGTTTGCTTAAGTCACTATTGAGCTCTTGATGATGCTGAAGGGGCCATGCTGTTTGTCTATGTCTGCCTGCCAGCCTGCCTGCCAGCACTGTAAAGCAGGAATCTCTCTTTGGGGCGTAGCTGGACGGCATCCTTTTAAACTCCGGGCCAGACATGTGGAATCCATCTAAGATCCCTCTTTATGGGTCCTGAGCAGGTCCTAGTTGTGTGAATGGGCAGGGAGAGCTTTTGAAATAACAGCTTTGGGAGCCCTGCCTCCCTCCCTCTTCTTGAAATAGAGGTCTCCTTCTTTATTGGTCTTCTGGAAGAGGTGAAACTGCTGTCTCCCAAATGAATATTCACGCACTAGATTGCATTTTTCTGATTGGCTCGCAAAGGGAGATCTCGGGAGGATTCAGTGGGAGGGACAGCCAAGTCCCTCCTCCCGTTTCTCTCTTGTGATCCCAGCAACTCGGAGCACAACACAAAATGCTAACCATGTGCTCTTGTGCTGCCTCCTATCTGTCTCTGCTGCAATTATCGGCGCGCACACACATCCTTCTGAGTCTTTCTTTCTCTTCTTTTTTTAAAAAAAGATCATTATGATTTAGGGTGAAACTAAGTGCACATATTTAAGAAGATTGCATTACAAAGTACAATAGCGGAGCTCACAAAAGTATTCTCTGTTCGATACTCTGAGCCTTGCTAGTTCGGTTTTGCTTGCAGGGAGATAAAACTGTTATCAAATCTGCCATCAAAGGGATAAAAAAAGCTTAGTGGAAATGTGTGGTATCTGAAGTGCTGCCAATGGCTGTCAACCTTCTCTTAAGAATTCGGCCTCCTTTCTTTCTCTTTTCTCTCTGTGTCTTTGTTGAGGAGCGGGTTCATCCAGGACCCTTTTGGATAGACAAATCTTTTCTTGTGTGTGTGTCATGAAACTGATCTCTTCCCCTCCACCACCAGCGCATAATCCTAAAAATGACCGTTGCTTCTGTGAAAGCAAACAGCAGATCTGATCCACAAACCCTGAGGCTGCCTTGAGTAAAGATGCAGTCCCTGTGCACAGAGCCATCCTAGGCGTGTTTACTTGGGAGTAAGCCACGCTGAGCAATGGCACTCATGTCCCAGTTTAAGTTGCAGCCCTACACCTGGAAGAAACCTCCATGGAGCCCTGTAGGGTTTGCTTCATAAACCATGCATGCGATTAGGCAGCTGACGTCTCCTCCCTGTACAGCATCCCATCTCTCTCCTTCCGAAAACATTCCACACACCCCCTCAACACCCGTCTGCTTTTTTTATGGCATGTCTGCATATCCGGTGAGTCAGGCATGAGTAAATCCTATGGTGATCTTGTCCTGCCAGGTAATTCCACCAGGTGTGCTTCTCAGGTTGCTACCTATTGATTCTCACATAATCTCCTGCCATCTACAGCACTGGGATCCTAACTCGTGTGTGTGTGTGTGTGTGTGTGTGTGTGTGTGTGAATGGAATAATGCTATAAGCAGCTGTAGGTTAGCAGAAGACTCCTTCAAGGAATCCGATTCCAATAAAAAGCTGTGTTTTGAGTGTGGACAAGCCCTGCACTTTCCGTAGGAATATATCGTGTGGGTTTCCTTCTCACCTTTGTGCACAAAAAAATCCACCTGGCTGGACCCAAGGTGCTTTTATGACGAAATTCCTAGTTTCCATTAGCTCAGTTGGTTTGGAGTGACCTGCCTTCTTCCTCAAGGTTCTCATGGCATCTTTTGTTCGTTGTTTTGTGGTAGGAATGACACACCCCAGATCCGATGCAAGCATATGTTCCAGGCTGTGTTATCTCCAAAGGCAACCCTGAGCTCCCTAGCTAAGCAGTCACTGCTGAGACTTGGGTTAATTCTCTATTCTGGTCTCCTTTCAACTGAGGATGAGCCAGTTGGTCCTCAGCTTTTCCTTGCTTGGTGCAAACTGAGCAGTCCCGTTGGAAGCTGTTAGGAGCTGGTGTTAATTTCAGATTTGCCTCCTAACTTAGTTGGCAATTGGCAAAATAAATAAATAAATATCTGGCTAGCTGTTAACTTTTCAAGGCTCTCCTTTTAAAATAAAATAAATACAGGCCCACATTTAAAAAGGGCCCCACATCTTCTCTTTGCCAGGAAGTGTTATCCACATGCTTTCTGTCAAGAAATAGTTCTAAAACATTGCTTTGTGAGTGAAAAGCCCTTTAGGTCTCTTCCTTCTACAGACCCTGTAATCCATGCTGGATAGAATCTATACTTCCTCAAGTAAATCAAAACGTGTGTGTGTGTGTGTGTGTGTGTGTGTATATATATATATATATATATATATATATATATATATATAGAGTGTAGATTCTAACCTGCATGGTTTCTGCTCCACTTAACATACACACAGTTAACTACGTACATGTGTAATTAAATGAAGTAGAGACTAGGATTTAGAGTTTTGTTATTAAAACTTTTCCCCTGCCCAGCCTAGGTTTTTATGTAACCCTCATGAGTAATGGCTGTGGCGATGGAGGGCTGTAAATTTCCTTTTTTTTTTTTTAAGAAAGAGGTTGGAGGTTTGAATAGGTTGCTAGGAAACGGGGCAGCGAACCAGCATGAAGGAAAGAATGGAGCCATCATCCACAAGGCTGCACCTGCACCAACTGCTAAAATGATACAGAAAAATGCGATCGCATATTTTTGAAAGAAGCGTGACCTGCACTTTAGCCAATGGATATTTGCGGAGTAAGCCTTTGTGTGTGTGTTTCCCATAAGGAGGCCTGCTCCACACACCTCAGGAAACCCCTTGTTTTATTGTTGGTTCAAGCAGTGGCATGCCTTTGTTTAAAGCCCTCTCCCACACAATGCCAATGGCTTAATCTATGATCTGTTTTGATACCCTGAAATGCTTTCCAGTGCGTGACTTTCTTTGTTTCACTTAAGTCAGCCTCCATTATTCATTAAATAGGACGGTGAGAATTTCGTGTTTTCTCTCTTCGTAAGACATCCCCCCCCCCCCGTTGTTCAGGCAAGCCAGGAACATTGTATAGGTCAGAGCTGACATTTTTTCCAATGCATATTCAAAATTCGACCCCCCCTCCAAAAAACCCCACGTTTACATGGTGACCTTGCAGTTTACAAATATAAGGCACCTTAATTGTTTATTTATGAGTCACGTTTGTTGGCTGCCTGCTGAGGTGCTAAAATATCTTAAGTGCTTTGTTGCAAATGGTTGTTGTTGTTTTTTGAATACAAGTTTTGAATCTCCTGGTTGTGTGCCTTACACCCTTGGGCTGGAAAAGCGCTAGCAGCGGGAGCAGCAGCCAGCTCTTCAACTAAACCATACACCCGTTCCAAAGATGTTTGCTGGCTTGCTGCTAAGGCTGACTTTTGTTTTAGGATCTGCTGTTGAGGAAAAGCAAAAAAAAATCTTGCTGAGTTATGCCAGGCTTTTTCTTTGTAGACAGCCCTTCCCCAAAGGCCTTTTGTCTGGATCTATCAAAGGGTCTCTGACCTGGGGAGGCGAAAAACTGCTATCAGATTATCGTTGAGCCTGTGAGAGGACTTCAACTTTCCGAAAGTGAAATCTGTGACAACAAACAAAGAATTAGAGGAAACTTGCATTTGGTAGAAGGACTGAGTGCATCATGGGAACAGAACGTGAAATGTGTGGTATTTTTAATGAGGGGGGGGACTACAGTGGACCAGATAATTGTTTGCATTAAGTGTTTGAAAAGTAACCAATTCTCCCAGCCTTGGGTTGCAGCCCATTGGGTGAGGCTGGTATTCTGAATTGGAGTGCATTATACTTCAAGCGATCGGACTGTGACAATATTTTTACATCCATTGCCATGAGCTTGCATTGGAATATATGAGTCTTGTAAGTTGGCTCCTTTCTCAGATCCTTCCGCAGCAAAAGCAGAGGGCCGAATTGTGCCAATCCTAAACGTGCTTATTGGGAGCAAAGTTTCACTTTGTTCAGTAGGGCTTGCTCCCTTGCAAGTGTGTGTGTTTAGGATTGCGGCCTAAGTGTACCTAACTCTGCGTAGGATCCGCCTCTTAGCTTGGGAGCAGCTTCCAAGTAACTTTCTTGAATTACTGTGTTTTATTCTTGGAGAAACGAGGCCAGGCTGTGATTCTGTTAACTTTAAAAAGAGTCAATTCCAGGGGACGTTTCTGTTTGATCAGGCAGAAGTCCAATAAATCTTCTCGTTCCTGATTGCTCCAGTGGTGACTCACTGTCTTAGTAAAATAAAGCCATGCATTTTTAGACTTGCTGCTTTGTTCCATGACCAAGA